GATGATGATGATGAGAGATCAATTATTTGACATTAAATCGTGTCATCAACAACAATAACAACATTATTATTATTATTATTGGGATGAAAAAAGATCAGGGATCAATTTCTTATCAACGGTTCTTTATTCTTTTTGTTCGCCTAGATAGATCATTTTATTATCGATCGATTGAATCGAATGGTGAATGATGAATGTTGTTGATTCGCAAATCGATCAATCAATGTAATTATTATACATGGATGGATATTTTCACAATCATCATCATCATCACCAGGACTGGATTATTGATTTATAATTATAAATAATAATATTTTTTATTTATTTCATTGTTTTTTAATTATTATTATAAAAAAAACGAGCAATGAATGTATGAATGAATGAATGAATGAAGAAAAATAATTCTTTCTTTTTTTGTAATTTGTTTGTAATTTTTGTTTTTTGTTTTTTTTCCTCACAAAAATTCAAATTATCAATCAATCAATAAAAACATTAATAATAATAATAATAACAATCAAATTAAAATTATTTCAGTGTGTGTTTCAGTGTGTTTCATTGAGTGACATCTGTCAAAAAAAAAAATCTGTTAAAATAGGCTCACGGTAATTAACAGCAGTAGTATTATACAAATGAAAATAGACAAGAGAAATGAAAAAAAATGGCGACAGGTGAATGACATTTTTTTGGGGGGAGGGAGAGAGAAAAGATGTTTATATTTGACAATGATGATGATAATGATCAAAATGATGATGATGAGCGCGCGCGCATTACAAATTTGAAATTTGAAATTGAATTTGAATTTACAAACCCGCACAAACACACACAGAGAACTGAATCGTTAAAAATCCATATTTACAATTTTGTTTTTTTGGCCAGAAAGAGTTGAATGATTTTTTTGCTATTTTTTTTATTTAAAAAAAAGGAAAATTCTTTGTTCGTCAAGCATAATTATACATAGAAACAAAAAGAAAAGAAGGAATTTGAGCTTTTTCATTTCTCTCTTTCGAAATATTATCGATTTTAATTGGCCCGTTACGTAAGTTTTTTGTTAATTATTATTGATCATCATCATTATAATTATAATTATACTTGTGTCATTGCTGATGATTGATCACTAATATTTGTTGTTGTTGATGATGATGACGATGTGGGCGTTTGTTGTTGTTGTTGCTGTTGTTGGTTAATATTTAATCCATTATGGTTTGTTGTTGTTGATGGATGATGAAATTGATATTGATTACCACCACCACCGACATTAATTGCTGTTGGATGCAATAATAATGATGATGATGATGATTGTGTTGTTTGACTATGATTTGTTGTACCTAAACTACTACTATTAGTAGTACCATTACTTGATGATGATGCTATTGATGATGATCCAGGTATACCTGGAATAATTCCTAATGGTGTAGTAATTCCCATACCTACACCACCATTATTATTATTATTATTATTGGGTATCACACGTACACGTCTTGGTAATGTACTACCATAAACATGACAAGATTGTTGTTGTTGTTGAGGTGTTACTATTGCTGTTGCTGTTGTTGATGTATGTATTCCATATGGATTATTATTCTGTAATGATGATAATAATTGATTATGTTGTTGTTGTTGTTGTTGTGAAAGATATGATGATGATGACATTGGAATGTTTGTCATTGTATTACCAACGCCAACAACATTATTATCAGAAACAATAACACCGTATGGTGAATGTTGTTGTTGTTGTTGTTGAGGCACAGAATGATGATTATAATTATGATTTGGATGTTGTTGTTGTTGTTGTTGATCCATAAATGTTGTTTCATAACAATCACCACCACCACCACCACTATTGTTATTATTTAAACCGGACAATGTATAAGACATTGGTATATGTGTATTGGAATTATTTGAAGTACCAACAGTTGATGATATTAATTGATATGAATCAATTGAATCGATTGGTGTTATTGGCATATAACCAATATTTGTATATTGCTATTATCATCATCATCATCATTAACGGAATTTTTGTTTGTTTGATTCAGGAAATTAAAGATTATTGGTTAAAAGGTTGACCCAATTGTTAAGTTTGTTCATCAGGAAAAGAGAAAAGAAAAGAAAAGAAAGTTTTTTTTTCATCGATTAATAAATTTGAAATTAATTGGAAAAAAACGCGCGCTAAATTTTTCGGAAAAATTCTTGAAAAAACGAAAAAAACTTACCGTATAAATATTTGGTGATGGTGGTGTTTCTGGACGCCATGTAACATGTTTATTATTTATCATCATACCATTAACATTATTATTATTTGTTGTTGATAATAATGGTCCAGCTGAATAAATATTATTACTACGTATAAAATTTGCACCTGTAGATGTCGCTGTTACGGATGATGATGGTGATGAACTATTATTATGATTATGATGACCACCACAACCATTCAATGGAATTGTTAATTGTTTATCTAAATCATCACCATTTAGGACAAGATCATCTAAATCATCAGTGCATAAGGCATTTTTTGTCGTCATTTCATTGGCCATTTCTATATGATGAAAACAGAAAAAAACAATGAAAAAAATATTATAATCACAAACAAACAACGAACAAAATTCAAATAATAATTATGTAAATCATCAACAACAACAAAAAACCAATAAAAGGAAACGGAAAATAAACAAAAAAAAGGAAAACCATTTTTGGCAAAACAAAACAAAATAACCAAAAAACAAATTGAAACTATTTACACACAACACTAAGACCGGAATCATTATCATCATCATTTTTTTGGATTCTATATACAAGGTACTACAGTGTTAATGATGATGATGGTCAACGGAAATGGATTTATAATCTAAACAGGAGGCAAAAAAAACAAATTTTCTATTGTTATTATTCATTTTGTTTATTACCGAAAATATTATTATTTTGGTTATTATGATTGTTTTGGTTGTTTGATGTTGTTGTTGTACTGGAAGACATATCCGATGATGATAATAATGTTGTACTATTGATTGTTGTATTTGTTGTTGTTTGTGATGAACCATTTATTGATGATGTACCATTATTATTATTATTATGGCTATTTTGATCAATTGATGATTTTTGGTCTGTTTTTATTTGAAAATTCATATATAGAAACATCATCATTATTCTCAACGATTCTAATCAATCAATCAAACAAACAAACAA